CAAACAATTTGCATAATTATGGCAATAATACTCGTCTCAATTGCAGGCTATTCTATATTCTTTTTTGTGATTAATGATATAACGATTATCGATAATCCATTGAAGAAGAATTCCGGATTATTCTTCTGTAAGCCTAGCAGTGCCTTCTGGGTAAATTATTTTAGAAATATTACACCAACACTGGAGAGCATTTTTATGTTTTACATTCCTGGAATTATTCTTCTCTGGACAAATATACTAATATACAGAGCTCTGTTATTGGCCAGTCGAAGGAGAAAGAATCTTACATCATCAATAAATGCTAAGGAAGAGAGCAAGAGCAAACGTCAAAACTCGTCAATTATCCTTCTCCTTATTTCGTCTTATTTTATTCTGACTTCCATACCAACTACGGCACTATTGATATATGTAAGATATTATGTAAGAAATCCTACAATGAACGATGTTGCCTTCTTGAAAAAGGGAGCTCTCCTCACTGATTTTCTCACCGTATCTAACAGCTCATTTAATTTTTATTTTTATTGTTTAAGTGGTAGAAAATTCAGAAATGAATTCTTATCATTGTTCAAGAGAAATCAGTTTCAAAGTAACATTTCAATAATCAAAACTCTGCCATTAAACAATGTAGCTACACCAAATTAAAGAACCCTTAACACTTCACTATAGGAATGTTGTATAGGGATGCAACAGAAAACGTTCACAAATGAGTGCTTTTACCCTAACCCTAACCCAGCCCTTAGCTGTATCTAACCTTTTCCATTACTATCTTCTTCCTAACCATTTCTCAATCCAAAATCTAGTTGTATAGTTTAGCTACTGTCGTTTCAAATTTAAATTTTTCATTCATGTGGTAGGATATGAGCTTGAATGAGTACATTTTCTACGCTCACATTCTCAAGATGTAACTTCGCCCACAGCCAATTCAGATATGTGATATTCTTTTACTCTGTTTCCTATTGTATTGAATTTAGCCGCAGAATTGCTTTCAATGAAAGCTATTGAACAGGCTCAATTGAATAAATGAATAATAGAAAAACATTCAAAACTAGTTCAGTTTAAAAATTTTTGAAGCTTTGCTTTTAATGCATCAAGTTGGACAAGTAAAATATAATATTGTTATATTTATAACTATCCTGAATGCAAATATACCGTCTTAGGTCTGGAATAAAATATAGGCTTATCTTTAGAGGCCGGTATTAAAATTACCATAATATCAATAAAGTATTGATGTATTAAAACCTTCATTCCTTAATATCATATATTGTATTAGAATTTTAATATAGTAATTCCAGATATAAAATATTTTCAGAATAATGGACACCAGTTTTCCTTATTTCTGAAGTATATTTTACATTGCTTTACAATTTCCTTTTCCTGTTTTGAGAAAAAGTAGAAAGCATATTTCTTTTCTTCATTTATCATAGAAGCTTCAATAGAAATTATAACATGAATTTGAAAAACTGTTGGAAGTGTGGATTAAGATTTCATTGGACACAAAGAAAATTCAGATGCAAGTTGTGCAGACATTTTTATCATACAAAGTGTTCAAAATGTAAGTAAACTCTCTAACTTTCTCAGGTATAATGCTATATCACCTATATATTAAGATGCAGATTATTGTCCTGATTGTCATGATGTCAGCAAACAAAAATTATTTATTAAATTAAAGAAAATAGATCATTATTGTCAGAGTAAAATTCATCCAGAATATGATGAAATTGTTGTTAATTTAGAATCATCAATGAATAATACAAGTGAAACGAAAACAAATCAGGTAATTTCATTTGTTCAAAGATATTATTATTTCACCATAAATTTTAACAGTTAAGACTTTCCTTTGACTTCAATTCACCTGAATCACAAAACAATGAAAAAGAGTTGAACTTTCCTGAAGATGGACAAGACATGGCAAAGAGAGTTGATATAAGTGATGAAACTTCATTTGAGATGGATAAGCAGTATAACATCATGGAAACAGAAAGAAATGATTTCAAAATAGTTGTAGGTGGAAGTACAAAAAATAAAGACTTACTTCTACACAAAAACTGTTCATATTCAGTAAAAAGAAAAACTGAAAGTTCAATCACCTGGAGATGTACTCAGAGATATGCCAAAGCTCCTTGTCCTGCATACATATTATAAAAGGGATCAAAGTTCATTGTCAAAAATGAAAATCATCTTCATAAATTGCATAAAAACATAGAAAGTGTTCTTCAATCAAGAATGGACTTGAAAGAAATGGCAACTGGTGACAATGGAAAAACTGGTAAAAGAATAGCAGAAGATATTATCCTTAAATTTAAAGATAGTATTGAAGACTTGCCAGAACTAGAATCATTAAGAAGAAAAGCTTCTAGATATAAAGAGAGTAAAAGACCAAAGCATCCAAGACATTTAGATTTTGAAATAAATCTGGATGAAATTCCAATTGATTTCTTATTGAGAGATATAAAAGAAAAGAAAAATCATTGTATTATATTTGGCACAAATCATCAAATAGAATTACTGGAATGTTGTAAAATTTGGTTCATTGATGCAATTTTAAAGTTGTCAGAGATCCATTTTATCAACTGTTTTCAATTCATGGATTCTTGAAAAAACATGATGAATATCAACAGGTTCCATTGGTCTATGTTCTGATGAGTAGCAAGAAGAAAAGCTGTTATATTGCTGTACTTCAGGTTTGAGATATTTCAGCATTTTAATCACTTTTAATTTATCATTTTTCATTTGAAAATAGGAGATAAGAAAATTAATCAATGATAAAACTCCCAGAAAATTTGTGCTTGATTTTGAAAAGGCTATATGGATGGCACTTAAAGAGCAATTTCCCAATTCTGACCTTCAAGGATGCTCTTTTCATTTCAAACAAGCAGTTTTGAGTAACATTCAGGTAGATTAAACAATCATATAAAGAAAATAATTAAATACTTATTTTATTAGAAACTTGGATACATGACTGATTATAAAGAAAATGGGTACAAAGGAAAAATGTTATGAAAATTGATGTGTATCTGTCTTCAAATTTTATTGAACAAAAGTTTGTCCAACTAAAAGAAGAACTTTGTGAAAAGAAATTGTTTAGATTTGCTTGAATATATAGAAGTAACATTCATTAAAAGCAGTACTTGGCCTCCTCAATTCTGATCTGTTTATCAATTAATTATGAGAACAAACAATCATGTTGAGGCATGGCATTCCAGACTCAACAAAAATTTGAAAATGGATGAGAACTTTTATTCTCTAATAAAAGAATTGAGAAGAGAAGCCAAATTAGTAGAGATCTTTGAAAAGTTATTGTCTGAAAAAAAGTTGAGAAAAATACAGAAGAAGTATAAAGATTTAGAATTTAAAATATTCCAGTTGTGGAGTAAATTTGAAAAAAGAGAATTGAGTTTGGATGAATTATTGGATAGACTTGTTGATTTAAATATCTGTTAAAATTTGTTATTTCTTGTTCTGCATTTTAGTTATTAAACTTAACACTCCTTACTATTTGTAAATTGTTTTTTATATTAAAAAAATAAACATAATTGTTCACAAAATAAAAATTATATTTGTCATATTTATCAATTCATAAGTACTAAACCTATCTTCAAGTGAGACACAATGCCTTTAGTATGACTACCTTAGAATGGGCCGAAATGTCCAAAAGTGGGCCGAAATGTCCAAAAGTGGGCCGAAATGTCCTGACCCCACCTTTAGCTTATAGGAAATACTGACTTTTGTAAAAAGATATATGTTTAGCCCTATCAGCTAATATATCCAAGTTAATAGAACCACCAGGACTTCTCTTCCTCCTTCTCTTTTTTGCTCCATTAATATCAAATTTGATTAGGCCGTTTAAAGGAATTATTCCCGAAAGTCCAATTGAAGAAACCCTCGTTGTACCCAGCTCATAAACATACAAGCCTAATTGTTCTGTACCAAGATTGAAAGGAGTTGCTTGGGTATTTCGAAGTTCGATCCATTTGTCATCAATATTCAATTCATTGATAAGAACTTGACCAAAAATTCCATCCAGATTTAGAAGAGTAAAAAGCAAAGATAAGAAATATACGCTTTTCATGATTTCACCCACACCTTACAAAGAATTGATTTCTGTCCATACTTACACCATACTTGTTTATATACACTGGCCTTTTTCACTTTATAGTTTCCGATTCCAAATTTTTAGACTGTCTCACACTAGTTAGTCATGCTTAACACCTAAAACTGTTTATATGATAGGTGCAAAACACCAAAGGAAAAAAATCAATGAATATTTGATGTATTCAAAAAATCTATTTGGGCGAACTCATTCTAAGAATCAGCTGAAAGGAGCTTGTTTTTAGCAACCTGTTGATAGAAGTATAAGAAATCGCTGCCTTCTTAAACCTGTTTATGATTCAGTTTTTGAAATCTGTAAAAAAGAAACTTTGAATTGAAAAGGCCAATTATAAATCATAAGCATATTTTACATCTGCTAAAAGTTTTTCACCTAACATTGTTGAAAAAAAAATATTGACAGCCTAAATTAAACTTTGGTTATTATTCATTGATTAGCACTGTGGATACAAAACTTCTGATAAAACAAGAAAATGGATGAATAGACCGACGATGGATAATCAGTTGTTGAATTTATAGATACAAATTTTTTATAATCTAAATTCCTTGTTTTGTTTTTTTCTCTAACTGTAAATATCTTACATTTCACGAAATACAAAAATATTGATACAGCAAATTATGATACTGAAAATTAGTTTTATTTGTTTACAGAGGAAATAAAAACTGGTAAGCGATACTGAATGTGGTAGAAAACGGCCATAAATCTATGCTTTTACCCTAACCCTAACCTAGCCCTTGTTTTTGTCCAAACTGTTTTCAATGCCCCTAACCCTTAGATGGGATCCTCCTAAGTACATATTAATAGCTATCTTATTCTCCTAACCATTTCCCAGACTGAAATCTGACCTTTAAATATTTCATTTATGGCGTTTTCGACCGGTCCCAACTATATTTTACAATTGTACGACTGTGTAATGACATATTTTCATGTTATTGTTTGTGTTTGTAATTGCTTTAATGTAGACTGATTGGCAATAGTCCATTTGACAACTGCAAAAGTACTCACAAACTGTATTGTCATCGCCGTTCAGTAATTGGCAGCTTAAAAAGTTCCCTATAAAAATAGGATCATTCTGATAATCCAATGGAATATAGGCTAAAACTCCAACGGGTGGAAGGCTATTCTTTAAATCAATACATTTATGAAGATTTTCACCAAAAATGTTCAGCTTAAAGTTTGGACTAATTGTAGAAACAGATGGCCATGGAATTCTTAAACTAAAATCTTCATCAGCTTTGACATCAATACAAGTGTTTTCACTTTGTTGGTCAGTAATTTGAAGTAATTTGTTATCATTCTGTTGATAGACATCTTTGAACACTGGCCCAAGAACGCAACTATTCATGTATGCAAATCTCCTCTTTGAATCCGAAAAGTCACAGTTACTAGATGGGAGGTGAGTACATTTTTTCTCCCTATTATCACCAGCGTAGATTATAAATTCACAATTTGATTGTACTTCACAGTCAGTTTTGCATTCGTATAGATCAGTTTTGTTGAATTGATCCAGATGCCCACAATCAGCATTGTAGCAGGTTAATGATGAAAACCCAATTCTTTCATACGAAGATATGGTTTCTGAATCATTTTGAGCATTGCAAGCCTCTTTGCTCAGAGTGCAGACAGTCCTCTTAAAGTCATATTCAAAGCATCTGCATTGAGAAGAAGATAGACAGTGTCTTGTACATTCCTTAACATTTATAGAAATAATAATATTATAGAATGTTTGAAAATTTGAATTCTTTCTGATTTGTACAAATCCGGCCATTGCTGTGTTGTCATAGAAACACTTCCCGTTTAGATAACAACAACCAAAGAGTTTACACTCGACTTCTGTTGTTGAATCAGAACCACATTTTTTATTCAAAATTTGAGAACATCTTTTTGGATTGATAGCCTCATCTATAAAAACGAAACCATAAATGGACACATCCCCCAACCTTTCTTTGATTTTCATGACTTACCGCAAATTCCATTTTTAGGTCCATAATGATTAAAATTTGGTCCTGAATTAATTGTTCCAGTACTTCCATATCTGTTGAATCTTTTAAGAAAGCATGTATTAGCAACCGCGTTGTAGTCAAAAGATCTAAAAGAGTGTAAATTTTCGTTCCAAAATGGAATCGTCAATAAAACATTTATGAAAGAAATAAATATTATTTTACTTGCAAGCAGAGTTATCAATACATTTTTTTTTACACTCTGACAGGGATATGTCTTGGAAGTTGCCTAATTCGACGCCGCCTTGAAACACTTTATTTTGTAGTATTTCCGTAAAACAAACTGAAAAATATACTCACTCAAAAACTGTCTTAAAGAAAATGAAAAACAAAAAACAAACCATCTGTTGGGACTGAAATGATTGGTTTTAAGAAAGCCAAAAAAACAAATAAGAATTTCATTTTTATTAGAATTAATTGTAAAAGCACGTAATATCTTCTGCTCTGTTTTAAGCAAAGAATAGATATCTATATAAAACAAACAAATTCTAAATTCTGGAATTGATCCAGGCGTTTTTAATTTTTTAAGTGATTAATGTATAATACTTTATGAATCAAATAACGATAAGATATTTATATTTATCTTTAGGTTAATTCATAAGTTATGTGTTTTACCTGTCTACACAATTTTCCATTTTAAGTAAACTTTAAAAAAAAATGGACACTGTAAATTTTTATAGGCTAAGTTTTAATTAATGATTAAAATTGTTTGTTTGCTGCAAAGTAGTTTTTTTGGTTTAATTTATATCAAAAAGATTTGTATTTTCGTAATATTAAAAAAATAGAAGAAATGTTAACACTAATATTTATGAATATTACAAGCAAAGTATTTTTGGTCATTTTCATCAATTTTTTCTTTATTTGGCCACACTACATAATTATTGGAACACTCACTTGACATCTGGTTTGGCATTCAAATAGATGTCTTAAAAAACATTTTTTTAGACTTATTTCACTCTCTAAGCTAAGTTTATCAATGAATTGTTAATTTTAATTATATTAGTCTATTTTTATTGTATTTATTTAAATATCATGTAGAGTAAAGACATTAGGGATCTTGTATTCAGGAAATATAATGAATTAGGAAAACTAGAGGCCATAGCAAGAGCTTTAGGAATGGCACCCTCTTCTATTAGCAATATTTTAAGTTATAAACCACCAGAAGAGGAGAATAGGGGTTGTCCAAAAAAATTTACAGAGAGATAGATAGGCAGGATGAAAGGGGCTATACAGAAAATGAAAATAATTAAGCAGAGGGTGACAGCAAGAAAAATTTTAAGAGTTAGATGTAGATGTTAGCCTATTAAACATTCAGAGGGAGCTGAAAAAACAAAATTTTAGTTATAAGTGAGTTAGACAAAGACCTGATCTCACAAACAGCAATTGCAAGAGAAGAAACAATTTCTGTCTCAAGATGATCAGTGATAATCTAGACTGGTTTAAAGTAATATTCACTGATGAGGCTAGATTCTCACTGAGTTGGCCAGGTGATATTTGTACTCAGACCAAAGATGGAGGAAAAGACTTCAGGATGACAAAAAATATGGGCAGACGTGGAGAAATGATCTGGAGGCTCGTAACATCTGATGGAATATTTGAGCTATGGAGGATAAAGAAAAAATTTAATGGTGACAATTAAAGCTGTTTTATTGTGGAAGATGTTCTTCTACCCTCTTGATTGGCCAACAAAGAGCCCCAATCTCAGCCCAATTGAGAACATGTGGCGCCTCACCAAAAACCTGGTATATGATGGTCCACAATTTGAATCTGAGGATGAATTGTGTAAAAAAATAAAAAAAATGCTATTTGAGCTTTTAAAAGAACAACTAGGGTTGTTATCAAGTAGTATATCAAGAAATGGTGTATAGAATAAAAAAGAGGGTAGTCACATTCAACGAGGTGTTCCATTCTTTATGAATATTACTATATTCCTTAATAGACAAAAAATAGGCTTTATTTGTGTGAGTGCTTTATTGTAACAACAAGTAAGAAATTCTTATAATTTTACTACAACAGAGTAGACTAAGAAAGTCACAAAATACATATAATTAGATATAGAATTGATGCTGTCTTTTCCAGATATTGATTTCAATTTCCAATTATTGCAATATTTTCCTCTACAGCATTGTT